TTCTTTTTCTTTTTTTTTATTCTGGGCCAGCTTTAGCTCTGAGGCTTGGCTCCAGCTCTTAGGCCTCTGCTGCTGTAAGTAGGTTTCTGGCCTTTGCTTACAATGTTGCGATCCCAGCGGTCTAAAACAGGTTTCTGAGGTTTTGTTTAGCTTCTATATTTGTTACATCGTTACTTATAGTTGCAGCCCAAAGGCCTGCAGTGGCAGGCGGGGAACGTTGGGTTCCTCTGTCACTGAAGCAAGCAAGCCTCATGTTAGTTTCAAGCTGCCTGGCTGCCGGCCGCCATCTTGGCTGGCAGTTAATTTGCATATCTCGCTGATTAGCAAATGGGAAGGGTAGCGGTCGTACGCCAATTACCATGTTTCTCTTTTATTAGATAGGACTAGAGGCCCAATGCACAGATTCATGCACTGGGGGGGGGCATGGCCTGCAGGGATAGGCCCACTGTAGGAGCAGCCATTCATCCCAGTCAGCCAAGCAGCACTCCCACTGTGGGAGCACACTGACCACCAGGGGGCAGCTCCTGCATTGAATGTCTGCCCCCTGGTGGTTAGTGCATGTCATAGTGACTAGTCAACCAGTCGTTTTGCTGTCCGGTCGCTGGGCTTTTATATATATAGATAATACACCTCAGAAAGTAATCTGAAGGTATATCTGTGCTAATAGTTTGTTTTTTCAATAGAAGCAACTCTTTAGAAATAGACAGAATGACATATTTTCATCATAAGAGACTAATTTAATGTTAAATTCCATTGCATGCCACTGGAAAAACCCAAGACAATAAACGTTTTGAAAAGCAATCTATACTTAGAATGATTTTAGTTAATTGTTATTGTTTAGGATACACAGTATATACTAAAAAAGCAATTAAGCAAATGTGTCATTCACATTTGACACCAGCAAAAACAAACAAAAACCTACATAGAATGATATTATTTTATACTAGACGCCCGGTGCACAAAATTTGTGCACAGGGGTGTGTGTGTCCCTCAGCCCAGCCTGCACCCTCTCCAATCTGGGACATCCCTTTCACAATCCAGGACTGCTGGCTCCCAACCGCTCACCTGCCTGCCTGCCTGATTGCCCCTAACAACTTCTGCCTGCCAGCCTGATCACCCCCTAACCACTCCCCTGCCAGCCTGATCGACACCTAACTGCTCCCCTGCTGGCCTGATTGCCCCTAACTATCCTCCCCTGTTGGCCTGGTTCCCAACTACT